CCGAGAGGCTGTGGTGGGTGAAAGGTGAAACCACTGAAGAGCTTTCATTGTGGTATTAATTTGATTGTTGCTGATACTGGTCTACAGGGCAGTGCTAGGTCCCAGCTGGGCTGTACAGTCTACTTCTACTGCCTGTAGCCTTGGAGCACAGCAGGCGTAGGGGCTGTGTTTTCCTCACTGTGGCTTACACACAGTTTCCCCACAGAGTGTGCTTCAGTCCGAACCGAGTGAAATTAGGGCCCCAGTGGTGAAAATATCCTGCCAGCAGCTCAGTTCGGCTCGTTTTTTGTTGTACTTGCCTTGTTTGGTACAAGCATTTCTGTAGATTGTCAAAGCTACTGGATAGAAGATTTCATCCATTGTAGATGCACGCCAGAATCCTTTGGGCGATGTTAATTTGGTGGTGCTGGAGTGCCATTCCCACGCTGTATAGTTCTCAACTGCTTTATGCAGTGTTAATTTATCATCAATCACTGAAGCTCAAAATTGCCCTCCCAGAAATAGCCTGGGGTATTGCCCATCAGATTCTAGCGTATCTGCTTTAATTAGACTTTGTGGACTGTGTAGGTCCTGAGCCAGATGAATCAGCTGTGTCCTGATACCCAGGGCTTGGGCACTTCAGGCCTCCTGTGTGTTCTGGGAAGTGTGTGACTGCAGGGGGCTTATGGGTCCCTTGTCTTTCCCTGTGCTTCAGTTGAAAACCCAGCTGAATGAGACTTTGTCCAAGCTGGAAGCAGAGGAGAGCGAGAGGCAGAAGGTGGCAGGGGATCTCTACAAGGTGAGCCCTCATTCCGCTTCGTTTCGCTGCAGGTTTGGCAAGGCGGAAGAGAATTCGGTGTAATTGAACGCTGCAATTCACTTTGGAATCCAGTAGTTTCCATTTTGGGAGTACTAGTGATCCCGGAACGCTATCTGGCCATCTGAAACGGGACACGGGAATTGTTTGATGTTCCTTCCATATCCTCTGATTTGCCGCTGTTTTGTTTCGTTTTGATTGTTTCTGCCCTGGGAGATAAATCGTTTTAATCAGGAAGGAAAGGGCATGTCTTTCTTTGTGCACAAGACGTCACCAGTCTGCAGTCTTCGTGGGCACTGAGGTGACCCAGTCACAGTTTCTGAATACGGGACCTTGCTTCTTGAGTGGGAGACACCCAGGGGCTTGTGTCTTTGGAGCTTTAAGGAATATCCTGCTGAAAAGACTTGGCAAGACCCAGGCTCTTTTTGCAGTCCTTCACACGAGAAGCTCACACAAGCTCAGGGATACACTTGGCCTCTGCTCTCTTCCTCCTCTCAGGCACAGCAGTCCCTGGACCTGATTCAGGCTGAGATTCTGAAGGAGACGGCCCAGGTGGACCTGATAGACAACAGCACCATTGAGACGCAGAAGGTGAGCCGGGAGAAAGGGTAGAAGCTGTGAGGGAGGCGTGTGTGGGGACTGGTGCGCGTGAGACAGGTGTTCTGTGTGTGCGCGCGCGGTTGGCTCTCGTTGGGTTGGTGTTCGGCATTGGTGAGCCGTATGCTCAGAATGACAGATGGGGAATGCAGGGTGCACACACGAGTACTAACCTGAATAGGTGATGAGGGCATCGCAAAGAAGAGTGTTTATTTGAAAGAAACCAAACAGCATCATCTTTCAGCATCTCGCAGCTTATTTTTTTCCCCACCCTGGATCGAGTCTCACTCCAGTTGAGTATAGGCTAGTGAATAGAAGAAAGAGGTACAGGAGGCGATTGGTTATGCTACGTCCTGGCGTGGTAAAGGTTGCCAGGTGTTCAAAAGCGCAGAGTGATTGCATTTTGAATTTGTTTACTTTTTAAAAAGGTTCTAAAAATGCATGGACTACTTAAAAACAGAAAGAGGTTACGTGCAAATTTAAAGTGCGGTATTGTAGAAAAAGTGCTGTACAGTACACACACATTGCGTCAGCTTGTAATGAAGCAACAGCGTTACATTTAGTCTGGTACCTGTTTAATGAGACATGAATTAGTTTCGAAATACCGAATGGTATTTTTGCTGTATCGTCCCGTGATCAACAGAAAATGTTGCATTTGAGATGGTTGGTTGCCGAACCATCGATGATCTCCTGCAGTACAGTACGCCACCATGTGCGTGCGTGCAGCTTCCTCCCTATGTGACCCCATGTTCCGTTTCCCAGGAAACAGACAGGAAGGAGAAGATGGCGGCTGGGTTGAACCAGACTGTGATGGAACTGCAGCAGCTTCTGCAGGCTGTCAACAGAAAGCTCACCAAAGGACAGGAGTGGGTAAGACAGGGGCTGAGGGCAGGGGAAGTTTTTTTTTTTAATCTAGTGCCTTAAAAAACAAAAGAACATCCCAGCAAACGTCACTAGAATATACCTGGGTATATGAAAGGGAGTCAGATTGATTTTGGATCTCTGCGTCTTTTTTGGTTTCAGAATGAGGACAAATACCCAGCTGAGGCGTAGAGAGTCGGGGGAGGTCCTGCCTGTGACCCCCATCTTAACACAGCCCCTCCCGCCCGTCCTGACCGAGTCCGAAACACCTGCCGGACCGGCCCGCCCGATACTGGAACGAGCTCTGCTCCCGTGTGGACAGGCGTGGGCCGAGGGGAAGGGGGTGGAGGGGGGGGGAACTGTGGTGTCCAGATTCAGCAAATGACAAAAGAAATAAAAAAAAAACAGATTTCACAAAACAAAATCCAACTTTACATTCCTGAAGACTACAAAAAAAAAAACAAGAAACCGGCAAGCGCTATAGACTGCAAGCAATGACCTTTAACCTTCGTTTCCCCTTCGTACCAGACTTTTAATACGACGCAGAATTGTTGTTTATTAGACGATCCGACTGGGAGACAGCTCCCGTCTTTAAATGTGAGTTTTTAGGAACATTTTATAAGGAAAAGGAAAAGAACACGGACCTACCTGTTGCGTTTTATTCACTATATGTTGCAGCCTGGGGCCCAGGGGGGGCGAGGCTTGTTCAGAGTCCACCGGCACCGGCTTGGCTCAGGAGGTCCAGCTTGGTGACCTGGGCTTGGAGGAGAGGGCCCGCTTGGACCCTGAGCCCTGAGAGACGCGCTGTGCTGATTCAGCAGGCCAGGCTCACACGAGCAGTTTGACCTATGTTATTAGTGGGAACACAGGCTTCCTCTCTTTCGTCTTTAGTAATCACTCCCTACTCTGCGGCTAATTTCATTCATACCGATTTTATTTTTGTTTTTTGTAAAAGGTGACAGTTTAAAAAAAAAATTAAAAGGGATGCTTGGTAATCCTGTGTCGTTGTTCTGAATTGCAGCTCGGGCAGTAGCAGCTGTACCCAGAAGTCCCTGTGAATCGGACACCTCTTTCAGGAGGCCGAGAACTGTCATTTTCTTGATATCGTTGTTTCGGGGTGACTGCTGGTGCATCAGATGGAGGTCCCCGCAGTAGTTTGGAGTGTACCCGTCAGGAGAAGCTGAAAGAAAGCTCCTTATGCGGTATAAAAATGTTACGAGTTGCAAACGCGAGGAAACCATTTGGCCCGTCTAGCCTGTTGGGTAGTTTTTTTTCATCCAAGGTTGTCAACCAGACATTCCAGGAAGGAAACCAGGATGGCTGGGTAAACTGTTCCGCACTCCCATAATCCTGTTCCTCTTTTTTTCCACTTTTACATGCACTTCAACATCGTTTCCACCTTTGTCGTCTGGTTTAAATAAAATTTAAGTATAAAGCTTAGTTTCTGGCGTTGGGGGTAATGAAGTAATAGCTTTAAACAAATGATGTGTGGAAAATGCAGCAGTCAAGGGTAGTTTTAAGATCTGCTCTCCTGTATTCCCTCCAGTAGCCACTGGAGGGCGCTCATGCTTTAGGATTTGTGTGGCCAGCTTGTTAAAGCATTTCCACTGTGTCCCACATTGCACTTAGGTCTCTGAATTACATCCACGGCCGGATATAGTCTAGCAGGATGTCTGTGAGTGGGGGACTGCTGGAGCACAGTGGGACCCGTTTCACCCACCAGTGAAGCGCAGTGTCCATGGGTCAAAAAGGCTATATTGAGGCAAGGAATTATTAAATTGACAAGTATAATCGAAATCCTACAATAGCAAAACAAATTCTCCCAGTCCCTGCTCTGCAGAAGGAGTGCATGTTTCAGAAAGCAGGTGCCTGGAAAGAGAGCCAAGCTCTTATAAGTAGACACTCTGAAGGCACTGGGAAAGCACAGTGAAGACAACTGGTCAGTCGGGGGTCATGACCACATGCGGCAAGCACTGGGTTTACTGTCTGTTACAACCATGACCAGAGGTCCATTAATGAAGGCTGTAAGGCCAAAACATCTGTCCTGATTGTTGAGTGGTACAGGTTTTTTAAGACCATCCGCAAGGTGCTTCATCCGGATTGTGCGCAGACCATTTGCTGAAGTGTGGGGATTTGGGGTCTGTGTACCAACGCGGCTGAAAGGACTGACATTGGTTAACCTACAGAACAGAACGGTTGTGGAAATGCTGATGGGCTGTGGGAGGGTGCAGTGTTCATGTTAGTTGGAGGCTCCATGATATTCCAGGAATGCTACAAGAACAAAGCGCTTAAGTAATTAAAACAATACCAGGCAGGCTCTCATGAAAGGACCCACTGTCTGTTTTTCCCTCGAACCTTCAGACAAATCTCTTTAGGTCATGTTTGAACAATCCCATTTCTGTGTCGGAAGGGTGTATTCAGCACTCCCCTCTGGCAAGAGAAGGATTGTTTTCAGAAAACTTTATCTGGACCCTTACCATGTTCTTCCCCATTTTAGTCCAAGAAGAGGCCAAAGCAAAAACCCCATTTTTAGCAGCCGCCTCTACAGGGATATTGAAGCTTAGGGAGGTCTGTGTTCAGTCCGTCAGCTTCTCCTTTTCTCGTCCTGCTGGTTTTCAAAGAGCTTGCTGGGTGTTTCTTAGTGGGCCCAGTTCCTTCAGAGCCAGGCGACGGTTGCCCCATTCCTGTGGGCAGAGATGTATTTTATCCGGGGGTAGCGAGCTCCTCGTGTGCTGGTCTGCTTCAAGGGAAAGAGGGTGGGAGTGAAACAGACGGAAGAAGAGGCCTGTGAGAGGGAGGGACGGGCAGGTTCAGTAAGAAGACTGTGCAGAAAAACAGGCACTCACTTTATAGGCTAGAGGTGTGGCCCAAGTCCTTAATTGTCTGTTTTATTGGGGTGCTGGGAGATTCCGGTGTTGTTTGAACACCTTTCATCTGTAGTCCCCCTAAGTTGGAAGTATTGAAAGATTCAGGCCTGTGAATATTGCTTCTGCTATATTCCGTGTTAGTTTCTTTAAAATGTCTGGAAGCAGCGTGTTTAGTTTTGTGAGTTGTTCTAGAACACAGATGGAATTGTTTTATGCTGCTGCGGTTGGTTATTACATTAATACAACTTGATTTGCCTGTGTGAGGAATTAGCACAGTGCTCCTGTCCCGTTCCGGCCCTGCCGAGAAACAGTGACCCTACGTTAAGCTGTATGTGGGTGGCTAAGGGAACTGTTACTGAATACACCATTACATCCTCAATAAGGACTCCAATCCTCCATTTACACGCAGTTCATTTTTCAGAAAAGGGAGGGACACGTTTGCAACTGAGATGTTAAAGTGCAATAAAGATGGATGAAATGCCTTTCCCTGAAAGTGCCAAGAAGCTCTGCACTGCTTTCAGGGGTGCAGTTTGAAAAGCTGGGTTCCTGTGCAGCAGCTGTAGCAGAAGAGGGTTCCCAGGTGGCAGCTCCGGTATCTCGGGTGGATTGGAGAAGGTTGCAGAAGTGCCGAGGTTGGAGAGCTGAAAGGGAAGTGGTGATCACTCTTTGGTTCCCTTTTTTTAGCAAGTTTGTTCAGATAAACAGACTATTTTTGAAGATCTGTAGTTCCAAAAAAAATCCTAAACAATGCAATGAAACGTACGAGCGTGGCCCCGGGTTTCATCGGGACGTTATCGTGGTAAAACACTCTCAGGCGGGGGGGGGGAACATGATGACACCTCCTAGAGCTCGCTCACTGTCGGGGATGTACTGCTCGTACTGGAAATTAACATTAAAATTGCACCCTACAATGCCGTGAGGAGTTTCTCGAAACGCCTGTGCCCTCAGGAGCAGAGTTGAGGGGGTAGGCCAGCAACGTTACAGCACAGCGCTGCTTGAACTGTGGCTCCAGAAGGCCTAGCATACAGCACAGCAGGGTGTGGACACCAGTGTTCGCCTGGGTCCTACTGCATGGGCTCACAGAACAAAAGGGGCCTTTGTAATTCTCTCGTATCAGCAGATAGCATCCCCGCTACAAGCTCGGCACATTCCTGCCATTCCTCTGCCTGTCACACTGCAGTCAGTTGACCCAGTCCAGAACAGGCCTGGCTGTGAGGAGGGTGTCCCCCAGCTGTTTCCCCAAGCTCACGGGTAGACGGAGGGGGAGTAGATGACGTTGTGTCCACGAAATTGACGTTTATCCCCAGACTTTCAACAGGCCCTGCTTAACCCTGGAGGAAAAAGAGGCATCACAACTGCAACATCAAGGAAAGTGAGTGTGGGCCCACAGGGGAAAAGAGAAGGAAAATGTAGATAAAAACCAGGTGGATGCCCAAGTCTGGACTGGCTACATGTGTCAACGGACAAGGCAGTTCTGGCTGGACATTTGTTTATGGTTGGCCCTTTCCACATTCCTACCTGTGGCTCTTTCTCTTATCTGCTCATCACATAAACTCCAGCAAGGGCCTGTCACCTTGACAACTGGTGGAATCACCTTAGCAACTGACCAGGGGGTCTCTGGAATGACTGACCGGCGAGACCAGAGACGCTCAGGACTGGGGCCCTAAACCCCCCCTCCTTGTCTTTGTTTTGTTTGGCCCTTGGCTCACTCTGAGTTTTGCATTCCTTTTCACATAGTGTTCTCAGTCTAAAGGGTGTCCTACAGAGCCTTGCTCTGTCGGCAATAAGGACGAAGAAAGGACACAGACGAGATGAGGCCATTCAGCCTGCTTGGTAGTTAGTAGTTAATTGATCCCAGGGTCCTATCCAGCTGTTTCTGGAAAGAGGTCAGGATGTCAGGGTATCGGCTTCAACAACATGGCTGGGTAGTTCGCTCCAGACTCAAAACCTTCTCGCTAAAGAACTGCCCCCCGTTCTCAGTTTTAAATAACTGTCACGTACTGTAGCTTCCATGTGTGCTCTCTGCTTATGTTTCACTAGTTGTTCTGAGGAAAACTGCTGAATTGAGCATTTTGAGAACTTGTATCAGGTCTCCTCAGAATCTTCTCTGTTTAGGACTAAAAAGGTTCTGTTTCTTTTGCCTGTGTTTCCAAAGCTGCAATATCTTCTATAATGTGCTGACCAAAACTAAACACAAAAGTCCAACTGAGGCCATACTAGTGTGTTATAGAATTTTAACATATTTCGACTAATTTAAATCCCCATTAAGCTCTATATCCTCAGTTTTTCTTTATTTCTTCCCCACATTGTAGAAGAAGTCAATGTTTCAAATCCCCTTACAAGCAGCAACTGAAGCACCTGTCAATGCTAGACTTTACCACGTCTGTCAGTCACTTGATTAAATTACTTCACACCCCTCTCCCACTTCACACAGTTGAGTTGGAGGGTCCCCCAACTCTCAAATTCAGCCCGACCCCTCCTCTCAACCCAGAACAGGGCAACTCCTCAAAATTCCAGGACGCCTGCCCCCCTGGAGCAGCACCGAGCACCTGCTCTCCATTAGGAGCGTGTTTGTTCAGAAGTGTCTTTGATCTCCCGAGCGGCTGCGATACAGGAAGTGAAGATGCTGAAAAAGAGCTCTTCTGGGCCGGGCCTGCTGTACTGGTAGACCGAGCGTGGTGAGGTAAAGGCCTGTTCCCCGTACTGGAAGAGAGGATAAGTTCAGCACGCAAGCAGTAATGTGCTGAGGAGCACACACTAACACGTGTACTGTACTAGTCCTCACAGTTATGGAGTGCAGACTTGCTCCTGACAGGGCTGCTGAAAACTCTAGATGCTTGGTTGGCTTATTCTGGAAATTGCAGCATTTAATTGCATTGGCGAGTAATTAAAAAATGTGTGGAGAGCAGGTCAGAGTCGTGTCCTCTGAGAAAGAATAGTACAGTTTGTACCTGCCTGTTGATACTTTGTCCTGCAGCCATGGTTATAATTAGTAAATCCATTCATCGGTACTTATTCATGAATTTTAATGAGCTCTACTTGTGGTGCTTCGATTCGGACACCTGCATCCGTGTTTGTTATAAGGTTAAAGTTCTTCCCTGACTTGGTTCTAGATTAATGTGTCTGTT